ACACTTACACACTGTTTTTTCCTGCTATCACATATGCATTGTGCTGAAAACAAACAGGCCCAAATTTACATGTTTTTGCTTCATTGCCCTACACGCTCCATCAAAGGTCATTTGCCCCAATATGTCATCATATGCATTAGTAAATGGCACAGGTCACTGAATAACCACATGGTTTTAGAGGCCCAAGGGCTGAGACCCAAGTCATCACCTTCACTGAATGACATGTGGATGTTTAACCATCATTAATTAACGTCGTCCAGCGACAAGACGGAAAACTTGCGCCCTGCAGTAAGGTCAAGACGTGACCATGTGCCGTAAAATATGCGACAAAAATATCCTCAGCCTTACACCATTACTGCTTCCTGGCCACACCTCATGCTGTAGCAGTAAGTCCTCCTTCACTGTCCCGGCTGTCGCTCCGTAGAAAGCAACGATAGAACTACGCTCGTATTCATGCAAGTGCGTGTCGCGCTCTTGACCGCTGCGGTTGGACGCGTCGATGACCGACTTGTTATCATCATCGTGTAAATATGGGGGCGGCGTGCACCGTGCTTTTGGGGTCAATGGAACAACGAGATGTCAGGCGCGCGCCAAACAGCGTTTGGTCAAGATGGTGATCCCGCCAAGTGCGGCGCCCTCAAGCATCAGATTAGATAGAGTTCTCGACACTTGACCGGTTTGCCCAGCATTTTTAGTGGCGGCATTTACACGCACGGGTCGTCCCAAACCATGACGGTGAGGCGTCTCGCTTGTTGGTATCGCGGTTGGGATTATCGAACTTTGTTAAAAATGTCGGGATGTTTGTAAGTCTTTTTGTAGCCCAAGAAACGTGATACTCCGGAGTATGACTAAGTGAAAGGCAAAACCTTGTATTGCAGCACAAACTTGGTTAACAAATGACCTTCTGGAGACATTGTGGGGCACGAAATCCTGCTTTTGATCTAGTGGCAATCTCTACTATCACAACATTGCTTTAAGCACAGAAACACAAACGTCACTTTTTCATGCACTGTTATCGAATGAAAGTTTCGACGCACGCCTGGAATGTGGCAATGTCAGATGCATTACAGCAAGTTATCATGGCATTGGGAAACATATTTACATGGCTGTGAACAGGTGACCTGTCCGAGTGACGCTGTGTCACAAACAAGTGATGCACGTGGAGTCCTGACGCCAGCTGGTCCACGCCGCCATGATCATTAAGCACGCATGCTCTCCCGAGTGTCCCGCCATACCGCGCCCTCTGCCGCTCCGGCCCCACCTCTTCTGTGTCCAGTGCGCGCGTGCGGCGGAACGGAGCGCCGCGCTTCCCACGGATGCCGCGCCGCGGCCCAGTGAAGGGTGACCTGATGGCGCCGGGGTGCGCTATCTGGCGCGCGCTCCCTCGTTCGCACGGGTCGCCAGGAGATGGGCCTGTGATGTGGGTCGATGTGGGCGCCGCTCTGTGACCGGCGGCGCCGTGCCCCCCCCCCCCCCTCCTTGACTTCCCTGTGTCACGTCTTGTACGCTGGTGGCAGCGCTGCGAGTGGAAACGTTCGTCGTAGTAGCGTAGTCTGGCAGGCACTTATTGTCCATTTCGTTCTTTGAGTTTTTGGGATGTTTTTAGCAAATGCTTGAATTCGGAATTTCGCTATGAGCCTGCTCGATTTTCTTCTTTTCCGCCCCGAAACTGCTGGGTACAACTGGTGCCGACCATATTCTCACGACACGGCTCCTAGCAAAACGTTTACTCCTATTTAGCGGTACATGTCAAAGCTGATGTGGCGTAAGCTGCCACTCTACACCCGTTGTCTGTCGACACAAAATTATCCGATGAAAGCTCGTGCGCAGTACAATTCTTTGACGGCTCGTGACAAAAACTGCTGCATGGCACCGCAGCCACCGGCAAAAACTCCGTGCAACATTGCCACGACGCTGCCTGACCATTTGCAGTCGACGCGCCACAGAATGCCAGGTATTGCCGCTGAGCGTGATAACTGGCGCCAGACAAAACTCCACACAGCATTTTCTTCTACTGGCAAAAATATCGTGGAAAAACTTTGTACGCTGCAAGACTCGCGCAGACAAAATCCCTACCCGATGTTACTCTGTCGCTTTCTAAAAGAGAACTACTGCGACGTAACCGAACCTAATCTAACATTGCTAGGCAAGATTGCGCGTGCTCCTATGTGTGCATGATAAAACACGTGTAAACATGGAATGCCGATGTCTTTTTCCGCAACAGTTTTGACGGCCGACCCTCTCGTTTGATAAAAGTTGTATCCCTATCGATCACGCCGTGAAGGAGCTTTGTTTGCAGAACGTCGGCGGCGTGGAAGTGTCGTCAGTAGACGTTAAATCAACGGACGTTTTGTCATTGTAAGTGATTTCATGTGGGATTTTCCGTAGTGGTCTCGCCGTATACGAGTACCGTCGCATAGATATTACGCCCGAGGGTTTTTTGTGTGCAGGGGCTGCCCGTAGGATTTCTGAGCCGTAGAAGTTATGCGGCGTAGATGTGGTCTGGTAGCATCTGCGTTTGTAGCCATGTTTATAGCAGCAGTCGTGATGTGGCAGCATGACCCTCCCTGTTCCTCGACATTCACTCCCTTGCGGCCTCCCGTTTGTAGAAAATAGCACGTTGCTTCGAGGCGTGATCATGATGCCTTGTTGATACCAAATTCTTCGCATTAACCTTGAAGATCCGGAAGGTCATTCACGAATTGCCGTCCCGGTGGCCCACTTGGTTGGAGCGCCTGCCCTCCGATGCACCCACCCGTGGCGCGGTGGGTTCTAGTCGCTTTAGGCGCGCGCTATTTGCCCTTGACTAGTATGGCCTGCGGCCGGTGGCAGCGGTCGCGCCGAAAGTCAGTTGACGTCAGAGGGCAGGACGGACCGTGCCGAGCAATGCGACACGTTAAGCTTTTGCCACGAAATTCTGCCGTTGACATGGAATTATGCGATCGGGTGGTACGGGTCAGAGCTCACACAACAAGCCCTGCTTAGCGTGAGCTCTGATCCCAGAAATCTATCTATTCAGAGGGTTCGGAACAAATCTTTAAAAAATGGAATGCAGGCGTTCTGACAGTAGGTTAAATGGTGTATTCATCACCCGGATAAGTTTGTGTTTCGCGACACGATTTACGTTCGTTACATTTTGCAATCAATCTTCCATCGTGTGAAACGTAATTGAACGTAACCGGACAACGGGCTGCAGTGCGTTGCCTCCCCCAAGTTGGTGAATTGAAGTCGTCACTGACCTGACCTGACCAGCCGTATATTATCCAGCCTCATTAATGAAGGGGCGGATTGCGAGTGGAATGTAAAGGAAACAAAAATTAATTTCGGTGGAAGATATATTCATTCAGCACAGATGTCCGCCACCGGTGAACTACCCTGGAGCAATACGTAAATGCCCGAAAGCCGTCATGTTCCCCACCTGGAATTGCCTTCAAGTTCTCTGCTGTATGTCGGTGATCCAGTTGCGTTGGGTTCATGTTGTATGATGCGCGTCCTGCTTCCAGCCTTGACCACGGGAGCCTCGAGCGCGGTTGTCACCAGCGCGCTCTTAATGTCGACCCGAAGAGCCAGCAGTTAGCTCCCTTTTCCCCCCCCTTATAGTAGTCTTATTTATATAGTGGCCTTCGAGAGGACGTACCCCCCTCCATTAATCAAACCTCCTGCATGTGATAACATGTGGCGAATAAATTTTCATGCACAAATTCGTGGACACATATTAAAATAATCAGATTGGGAACACGTGTTATTCTTTTACGCCATGCAAGCAGTTTTGATGCCCGCGGCGCGCTTAGATAGGTTTTCAGAGCTGTGCCCCCCTACGTCGCGAAATTCTGTATGCGCCCCCGTTTTCAGATTTAAGCCGAGTATTGTTTCAGTGGATGTTCCATGACTTTAGGACTGCTTAATTCTGGCCTGGCTTTAACGGGTTGAACACAAATACATATATACTGAAGGCAAGCACACAAAAGACGATGTTGGAGACTTACCACGATCTTAAGATGCATCGCGTATTTGAAAGTAAACTTTCATTGGAAACTCCAGTTGAAGCCGCTACATGGTATAAGTGATGTTCTCCGAAACAACTACGCTGTGCGGATCTCGGCAAAATTTGAGCCAGGTATTAAAGATCGTTGACGTCTTTATTAAAAACCAAACAGCTTTGTGACATTGGGCCATTTTCCGAACGGAAAATTAGGATACATATATGTATACTAGTTACATATGAAAGTGTCAGAACATATCGTGGTCGCTATCGTCGCGCAGTTATCGAAAGTACGTGGGATTTCCGGTTAACTGACTTCTTTGTGATGTCCCCGTTATTACCCAAGGTGATCAGTCTCCGGTAAAAAGTTCTGTCCGAGTATCTGTCGGTCGGTGTACCCCAAGGTTTGAAAGACTGCTTCGTTACTGAACGGGGGCCCCAGCATGGGCCCAACTTTATTGAGTGGGCGCTCAGGGCTTTAAAAATGTTTCTTCTTTAGCCAACGCCTATCTGTGTAAGGTTCAATTCCGCATCGTTGAAAGCCCGCCGTCCCACCCCCTCCACCCGTGGCGGAGCCAGTGGATGACCGCGCATGCGCAGCGACGGGCCTGGCCTCACGTGCCGCGGGCCGAACGAGCCGCGCCGACCCGGGACTGTTTCAGTCCGGCGCCGGTAGGTGTCGGGTCGGTCGACGGCGATAACCCTGCTCGTTTCTAGTATATAACGGCGCGGCGGGCGGCCGGGCCGGATCGGTGCCGTGCGCGTGCGTTGGTCTGTTACGAGTGCGGGGACGCAGGAGGCGATCACAGGCAGGTGCGGAGCTCCCAGCTGTGGCGCGCGGAGGTGTCGCCCGGCACAGCATGCAACGCCGTGCTCGAGGCGGTCGCTGCTCTCGCTGGGCGCCTCCGCAACGTAGCTACTTTTTTTGAGTGGGTGTGAAAGGGTATTGCGTTGATGACTGTGTGGTGGTATGTTTCCGTTGTTTCTTCTACTTGGCCTGGGTATGAGGGTCGCGATAAATGGGATTCCGATATCACCTTCTCTGGCGGGACCTGGGAGAAGCTATAGACGACGGATGGGTGTCGTTTCATTTTTTTCCCATTGTGTATTAAGTTGGAAAGCAGGGAATTGCTCGCATAATGACTGTGCTCGTTTGACCCAGCCTAGCAGAGGTTTCCTTGAAGTTGTTCGGAGCGATGGCGCATTAGGGTATACTTTTCCAACTTTTATGGCACTGAATGTGATTTTTGATGTCCGTTTTTCTATGCAGAACGAAGAGAAATCTAAAGACGGCATCACGTCTGACGCACCATCACTTGGCTATTTGATGCACTCAGGAACGATGAGCAAACCGCTTAACGTACAGGATTCTTTTCCACCGTATATGTTTGCTCATCTCTGGATCTGGGCGCGATAAAGTGCCATCCTTGTAAACAACGGCAGCGATGTTTGGCTTCCCCGTGCTCCTTCCCCGCTTATCACCAGTCAGGCGTTGGTGCGCCTTGCTTAAAGCCTGGTACAGTCCATACGGTGTTACTGTAAAGTTGAGACCACCTGCTACCGTGAGCCCAATCCGTTCCAATGCACCCCATTCAATTCGACCCCGCTCACGGGTTCGCTCCATTTGACCCCGGTCGCCGGCGTCATGAGGTACGGGAGCGCGCCGCGCTCGGTGGCCTTGAGCCGACGTTGCCCGTGGCGGTCAGGATCGCCCGCGCCGTCGGCTCCCCTTCCCGTGAGAGCCCTGGGGTGACGCCTGGGGTAGGGCCGCCGCCGAGCCGCCCCGTAAACAAGTGCACCAGCCCCGAACACTGGACAGGCACCCCCGAGTACGGCCCGGACCAGGGGTGGGTCTGCCCGCCCACAGGAGTCACGCACGGGCTACCAGTCTGTGCTTTAAGCGGAGACTCCTGTACGCCATGCACCCCTGCTCTAGACGGTAGTCTCCCACTCACAGCCCACCCCCTGCCCCTGGCTGGTGTCTCTCACTCATGGTCCACCCCTGCCTCAGACAGTATTTCCCACTCACGGCCCACCCTCGTCCCAGACAGCAATCTCTTCTACAGAGCCCACCCCAGCTGCCCCAGACGGTAGTCTCCCGCTCACGGCCCACCCCTGCTCCAGACAGTAATCTCCACACTGCTCACCCCTGCTTCAGACAGTTATTTCCCACTCATAGCCCATCCCTGCTCCAGACAGAAATCTCCCACACATGTCCCACCCTCGTCCCAGATAGTAATCTCCCACTCACGGCCCACCCCTGTTCCAGACAGTAATCTCCCACTCATGGCCCACCCCTGTTCCAGACAACAATCTCCCACTCATAGCCCACCCCTGCCCCAGACAGTAATCTCCCACTGACGGTCAACCCTAGGCCCAAAAAGTAATATTGTACACGGTGCACCCGTGCTCCAGACTGGCGTCTCCCACTCACGGCCCACCCCTGCTCCACACTGACGTCCCCCACTCACGGCCACCCTCGTCCCAGACAGTAATCTCCCACTCACGGCCTTCTCTCGTCCCAGACAGTAATCTCCCACTCATAGCCCACCCCTGTCCCAGACAGTGATCTCCCACTCACTACCAATCTACCAATCTCCCAATCACTACCAATCCTCGTCCCAGACAGTAATATTCTACACACGGTCCACCCCTGTTCCAGACTGGCGTCTCCCACTCACGGCCCACCCTCGTCCCAGACAGTTATGTTCTACACACGGCTCGCCCCTGCTCCAGACAGTAATCTCCTCCGCACTGCCCACCCCTGCCCCAGACGGTAGTCTCCCACTGACGGTCCACCATCGTCCCAGACAATAATCTTCTACACCCGGCCCACCGCTACTCCAGACTGGCTTCTCCCACTCACGGTCCACCCCTGCTCCAGACAGTAATCTCCTCCACACGGCCTAACTCTGTCCCAGACAGTAATCTCCCATTTATGGCCTACCCCTGCCGCAGACGGCAGTCTGTCATTTCCGGCCCACCCCTGCTCCAAACAGTAATTTCCTCCACACGGCCCACCCCTGCCCCAGACTGGTGTCTCTCACCCACTGGCCACCCCTGCTCCAGACAGAAATTTCCTATACACGGCCTACCCCAGCTGCTCCAGTCGGTAGTTTCCCACTCCCACTTCCTGCTCCCTTTTAAATGCATCTGGGACTTGGTGTCACCTAAGGGAGAAAGTGGAGGGGGCAGCTGCGGCTGCGGATGAACCACACCAGCAGTGAGAACAGTGGCATGCTTGCTGGGGACGGACCGCACCAGCAGTGGGAACGGGTGTCGTGCTGGGAGCGCTCCACCGTCGCAGATGAGCGGGATCGTTCCCAGTCGTTGGTAGATGTTTGTATTGCTGTACTGTGCCAGTCATGCGCACTAGGATCCCGCCAGCTCTGTATCCTGCAGAACCTGCACGAAGGAGCGTACGAACGAGAGGTAGAAACGAACCACTGGGGGGCTCAGGCACGTCTCCTCCACCATTCCCGTGATCTGTGTCAGCACGGTCGCACTACGCTAGCGGCGCGCGTGCTCCTGCCGACGTCGTCTTGTGTGTGCTCTCCTGACATCCGGCGTCGCTCCAGGACAGCATGGACGTGGACAGTCTGCGCGCCGACCTAGAGAAGGTCGGCCAGGAGCACGTGCTTCGGTTCTGGTCGGACCTAGAGCCGCAGCGGCAGCGCAAGCTCTACAATGACCTCAGAGGGTGAGTGCGGCAGGCTGGGGCGGACGATGACGGCCAGGGAGCGGGCGGGGCAGCGGAGCTCACCGGTGTAGGCGCTCAGCGGCAGAACCGGTGTCATGGCCGTCCGGGGTGTTTAGCCAACACGTGGTCACCTCTTGATTGCTTGCAGGCTAAGGCCTGGCAGGAGAAGCCGGTACCAGTCACAGATCGAAGGTTACCGGTACTGGAGTCACGTCTTCTTATCTTAGTTTTGTCAGGACGTGTCAGTCGAAAGTAGCATGCTGCCGACAGCTTGCTAATGTTAGAAACCCTCTCCCTGCAGTTTTTCCGTGCAGAGTGGGCCGGTGATTCGTTGCCGGCCCGTGCCGCATCAGGTGGCCGCCCCACCTGTGTTGACGCCCCTGCTGCCGGCCCCGCCCCCTCCCCGCCCCGTCAGGACCTCCTCAGCCGGCGGACAGCTGAGCTCGACATGAGCGCCTGTCCGCGTCCCGCTCTCGCCTCGTGGCGTCCCTGTTGCTGTCGAGAAGCGAACATCACCATTGGTGGCCTCGGCGCAGAACATACAGGCCGCAGTCCTGGCTGTCCGCTTGATTGAGGTCGGACGACGGTGATAGTCATGGGATGAGGCTGCCTCGATCCAGCCTACTTCCTTATTTGATCGTCGCCTAAACTCCGAAACCTCAGCCAGTGATCCATCGCTGTTGATTCTTACAGGGTAGTGGCATAGCCCCACGATGCGCGTGTTCTTGCATGCTGCTGCTGAGTACAGGTAGCGTAGGTGCATGTGTCGCTTATCCCTCTTGCCGCCCACTCGACTGAGCGCCGCTCCACCGACAGCATCGACCTGCCGGAGGTGAACGCGTTCTACCGGAGCACGCTGGAGGAGGCCGAGGACCAGGAGAAGCTGGACGACCGGCTGAAGCCGGTGCCGGCCGACGTGTTCGGCTCGGTGGTGCGCTCCTCTCCCGAGGAGCTGCAGCGCTACAACGACGTCGGTACGTGCCGCGGCGGGTGTGTCAGACCCGGCGCCGGCGCGGGCGTGGGGTTCGCCGATGTGTGTTACCGGGCACCCGGGTCCCGGTGGTGGGGGCGCGCCGGCACGAAATTCCAGATGTCAGCGCCCGATGGCGGAAATCCACCGGCATCACCGACAATTCACAACAATTCACAGTGGTAGAGACTAGAGGTTGACGACGTGCGGTCGCCAAGTCTCGTCCTATGGAACGCGTACCCCTTGCCGCCACCGCCGCCGCCGCCGCACGGGCCTGGGACTCGTCCCGCGCCGGCCGGGGCCGCCGCTCGCTCACCACCTGCCGGGGTGGGCGGCGCATAAAACGCCGCGTCGCACCTGGGCGACGGGTCGAAAGTGGGCTCCTCACACACCCCCCCCCCCGGGGGGGGGGGGGCAGCGCGCCAAATCGAGCGGTGCTTAATGCACCCCCACCCGACATACACTTTGTGTGACCACCCGACAGTTCGGTGGCACTCTGTGGCACCCCCTGTGACCGCGATTTTTTATTACCATGTTTTTCTGATGTTGATGCGTCGATGGGTGGATAGTGTCGGGCTTTGCTGTCGTCAATGACGCATGATGCTGGCACAGGTGTTGGCTTTGTTCGTGAAGTGCTGTTTTTGGTCACTATTGATCCAAAGATCCGTCCCCTCTGAATGTCCTCAAGGCAGGCGCAGGTGTTCCTTCATCCTCGCTACGCATCTGCATGGGCTAAATTGGGCAGGACACGCAGTGAAGTCGTTCGAGAATTAATCTTGGCGTGGTGCAGAATTCGCTTCCTAATGGGCAGCTGGGTGCTGCCTGACCACGATGCCTCGTACAACCATCACGCGAAACATTCCAACGACCTTGAAAAGAGTGATCGCCTGCATCCCAGCGGGCTTCTTGATCCAGGTTCTGCTGGCGGCACGGTGGCCTGTGGTAGGGGCGTAGCTGCTGGATGTGCTTGTCGCGTGTGCCTGCCGCTGCCTTCAGGCCTGTAGGCTTCCCCCTGGGCCTGCTGTGGTGCGTCCCCTCCCCGTCTGTCGTCACATGTGTCCGCTGCCGCCTCCGTCCTCGGGTTCACGTGCAGCGACTGCTGCCTCCAGGTCTGGAGATCCTCTCCCTATGCTCCGGTGGAGCGCGCCCCTCCCCGGCGTGCTCACGCGTGGCGGCCGCTGTCTACAGGGCTGGAGGCGGTCTCGCGCGGTGAGGTGGGCGTGCTGCTGCTGGCCGGCGGTCAGGGCACGCGCCTCGGCGTCAGCTACCCCAAGGGCATGTACGACGTGGGCCTGCCGTCGCGCAAGACGCTGTACCAGCTGCAGTCGGAGCGCGTGCGTCGGCTGCAGCGGCTGGCCGCCGAGCGGACGGGTCGCGCCGGCGGCCGCATCACGTGGTACGTGATGACCAGCGAGTCCACCAAGGAGCCCACTGTGCGCTTCTTCGAGAAGAACGACTTCTTCGGCCTGGACAAGCAGGACCTGGTGTTCTTCGAGCAGGGCACGCTGCCGTGCTTCAGCTTCGACGGCAAGATCATCCTGGAGGCGCCCGACCGGGTGGCGCACGCGCCAGACGGCAACGGTGGCCTCTACCGCGCCCTGGAGCGGGAGAACATGCTGCAGGATATGGCCGAGCGCGGCGTCCAGTACCTGCACGTCTACTGCGTGGACAACATCCTGGTGAAGATGGCCGACCCCGTGTTCATGGGCTACTGCATCTCGCGCGGGGCTGACTGCGGTGCCAAGGTGAGATAGCAGGCGGCGGTGAGCGTGTTGAGCGTCGGCGGGAGGGGGGAGGGGGCATGGGAGGTAAGGGTCGACTCACTGTGACGATATCGTGTCTGGACGTACGACGTAACGTGACGTGCATCGTGACATGTGGACGCGCTCGTGACATGGCCAGAGAATAACACAACCTTGGCTGTGTGTTTCGAAATTGACTACTAGCCTGCAGTAGTGCACACCGAAAGCGATAAGGTGAAAAATCGGTTCCATGATCGTCAAATGTGTCCAGCAGGATATGGCGGCTAGACAATTTTTTATTTATTTCAAAAGTAATGACAAATGCTGAACCTATGCGGACAGAGACAACCAGAGCATCTATTTTTTAGAATGAAAGAAATGGGCTCATTAACAACTATGGTGTCATATTTGAGTAGCGTAGTGTAAAACCAATCTGCGAACATAGCGTACCGTTCTTGTTTTCCTGCTGTGTAAGTGTCCTTGTGGGAAACTTGGCTGATGAATGTCCCGGGTGGGATCACGATTTTCTGTATTGGCTCGCGATTTCTGGTGTTTGGGCCCATACTTTTGCACCCTACCACCTTTGGTCAAACCTGAGTAATTGGGATTTGTTATGTGATGCTGATACGTGGTTCCGTAATTTTGAGCTCTGTTACTCTACTACATCATCGAGTAGGGAATTATATTTGTTTTGAAAATGTTTCAATCATTGATCGTACCTGTTCTGTAAACATACTGGGTAAAAGGTGGGTGACGAAAACTGGCCCATGCTTCCGCGGGCGGATGCGCATGGCGATAATCGTGATCGATTGTGATATTGGTGTCCGGTTTGATAACTTTGGAGGAAGACCTAGCGAGGTAAGTTGAGTTGAATTTCAGTATTTCGCCGGATGTGTCTGGGAAAATGGCTCTTATTAGATAGACAGCAGTGGGACGCGTCGCTTACATCACAGGTGAGTGTGTGTGGCTCAAATGTCCCCTTTGCGACGGTCAGCTGACATCCAACCCCGAAATGACACCGTTCTAGAAGTGCCGAGCTGAAGCCACTGTCGCGTCGGTGTCGCGGCAGCCGTCCATCGGGGCAGGCAGGGATCTCCTGAGCACCCGGCCTGGCGTGGACGGCGGGCAGGCCGCTGAACCCGCAGCACGTGCGCCAGCGCTGTTTGTGCAGAGTTGATTTCAGACAGACTCGTCCGCCTTATCGATCGGTTATAAAAGCGGAACCCGTCTGTTTGGATTACACCAGGCGTGCACGGACAGCGCACTTGCCACTCGATCCACCGCGGGACGCTCGGGTCGTGACCCCGTCCAGACGGTGTCTTCGGGCGTTGTTCGCGGCCGGCGGGGCTTTGAACGTCGGTGATGGGGGTTAGTCACTGCGACCCGCGCGACCGGACTGTGACCCCTTGGCGCGTGCTGCTCGGTGATCACAGAGATCGCCACGGAGGGGCTCGGTCGTGTGGCTCGTGTGTGCGTGCGGGTCAACCACTCAATGGACCGCGGATCAACGACAAATGATGATTTCGTGAGGCAGCGCTACGTGCTCACCTCATGCATTAACGCCCATTGCCATGATAAAAGGAGCTATATTATGCGCTTTAGTCATCGGAACAAAATGGATCGGGGCCACATGACCAAGTCGCGGCGTTATGGTGAGCTCCAACAAGTAATCCACATGCAGCGTTCATCCGGTTTTAGAAGGCCTTAAGACCCAGACTGCCGTCAGCGCACGGCATCCAGTCGATGTAGACATCTGAGTTTACAACGTGCTTGGGGCCGTTACGTTACGTCACTCACGTAGCGTGGCGGCCCCACCCGCCAGTGCGCCGTACGTTCCACGTCTGACGGCTTCCCCTCCCCGCGCCCCCGCCAGGTGGTGGAGAAGGCGTTCCCGACGGAGGCGGTGGGTGTCGTCTGCCAGGTGGACGGCCACTACCAGGTGGTCGAGTACTCGGAGATCACGCTCAAGACGGCCCAGAGGCGAAACCCCGACGGCCGCCTGACGTTCTCGGCCGGCTCCATCTGCAACCACTTCTTCACGGCCGATTTCCTGCGCTACGTTGTCAGGTGGGAGACGCCCGCGCCCGTGTCCTGCTCAGTGTGGCGGGGGGGGGGGGGGGGGGGGGTTAGCGCCGGCCCGCTGCCCGGTGTTGGCTGGACGTCACGCACGTGTCTGCTGCTGAGGCGACCTCGGCTCCATCGCCGCTGCTTCCGCAGTGGGCGTGGCGTGGGGTCTCGCGCGCCTCTGGTGACCGTGTGACCCTCCCGCAGGTGGCGGGGAGGGGCGGCGCGAGCGCGCCGGTCCAGCGCGGTCCTGAGATAGGTTATCGGGTGTGTTTGCCACAGGCAGTGCTGATCACCGACCGGCGCTTTTAATTACGCTCGTGGCCACCCGCCACCTCGGTCGTCCTCGGTCAGGGCTGTAAATTACGCTCGCGGCCGTCCGGGACCGCGGTCATCGCCGTTATGTGCAGACGGTGGTCGGGTTGTCCCATACTGGTCCTGCTTACTCCGATCAGTCCCAGAAGATGTCCGGCAGCTGTCCTGTCCGGGCTGACGGTAAACGTGCTGGCTGGACGCACGCTCCAGGATTGTTTCAAATAGCCTGACGTGGTGATGGTTTTATTCGTAATGTTCGTACCAGGTGCTTGTGCTGCACGATTTGTAATCATTAGCGTACTGCATCTATTGACAAGCTGGCCTGGAATTCGTGACAGTAACCGTATGTTCAATCTTTCAAGCTTTGAAGTTTGTTTCTCTGTTGAAAGGGTAGGAATGTAATATGTTCAAACATATATTAGTGATGAAAGAGCGCAGATAAGCAGCATATTTGAACTTAGTAGATTCACAGCTGATGCTCTTCACGTATTTCTGTTAAAATACAAGTACAGACACGAGCTCTTAGGTTGGGGCCCGGCCCGACCACTAGCTACGTGCCGTGCGGTGCTGTAACGACCGCGGGCGACCGCGTGGTGTACGGCACTTGTCACGTGCATTGTGCGCCCAGCCGCCTCGGGCCCGCTCACCAGCCGGGCCGCACGTGTCACCAGGGAGCACGAGACCGAGCTGCTGCACCATGTGGCCAAGAAGAAGATTCCGTACGTGGACGAGGTGGGGCAGACCCAGAAGCCGGACCGGCCCAACGGCATCAAGATGGAGAAGTTCGTGTTCGACGTGTTCCAGTTCTCCAAGTGAGTGTCGTGTTCACGTAGAGCGCAAGAGGACGTGAGATTGTCCTTTTGATTCTGTGTGTGCTTATACCCGTTCATCAGTTCAAAGGATCTGTATTACCCGATCTGACTGTAGCGTCCGCAACGAGCTTAGCATCCTGCAGTGGTCATGCACATCAGCGATGAGAAATAGATTCTGCTTTTTCATGGCTTCGACTTGTGTGATTGTCAGGTTAAAGTCATCAGAGTACGACCATGGTATTCTGTCGGCCAGGCCACGCTGGCTATAAGCGGAACATTTATGGTTATGTTTCTCGAATTCCTGCCTGCTAGGTGCCAAATAAGCTATGTCTTTGTTCTGAGAACTGAGATTCGTAGTACGCTGAAAGTGTCCTATTTACTCTCCCATTCCCACAGCCCTCCACTACACATAAACGCTGTCCCGTCACAGTGACATTCGTCTGTGTCGCTCGTACCTTGTGAAAGGTCCTCGGCGGGAAATAGGAACTCGCACGGATGCCACGCGCTCTGTTGCTTCTCCCTCCGCGCTGTGGCACCCGTCTCGGTGCGATGTTTATCTTTCATGTAGGCGCAATACCTTAAAAGCTCCTTGGTGTGAGCTGAGGTGCCTTTGCGGGCCGTGTCCTCCGCGGCCGTGTTTGGTGACAGTGGCGCCCGCCGCGGCGCAGGAACTTCGCCGTCTGGGAGGTGCTGCGCGAGGACGAGTTCTCGCCGCTGAAGAACGCCGACGGCGCCGAGAAGGACACGCCCACCACGGCCCGCCTGGCGCTCTGCTCGCTCCACCAGCGCTACGTGCTCGCCTCAGGAGGGCAGTTCGTGGACGAGGATGGCCAGCCCATCCCACTCATACCCGGGTGAGAGGCGGCGGCGGCGTGCTCGGCAGGGGGTCCCCCGGCCCCGCTGGTCCGCAGCGAAGCTGGGCTGCGGCTGGCCAGGCAGAGGGGCGGCACCGTCCCACGGATGTTTGGGGCGGCGTACTGTATGCCGTGCGACATACTGTATGTTGTTCGGCACACTGCCCCGGGCCATTATTAGTCAGGCAGGTTAGTATGCCCACACTCCGGTGCGGGACCCTCGCGATCCCTGGATTCTCAGGACAGAACTCACGTGCCGTGCTGATGTCGTCGGTAAGTTTCGACGCCTGTAGCTGCTCGAGCAGGTTTCGCAGACCGGTGTGATTCCCGCGATCTGGCCAGTTGCACGACTTATCCATGAATGCGCCTTATAGAACCGGCGTATCGAACATAGAACCGGTGCATCCGGAACTGTGTATGCCCTAACTCTCCGCTGCTCTTCTAAGCGTTCTTGCATTATATGTTCTTGCGTTGTTGCGTTTGCCATGCTTTTTACGTTTCATCTGTGTAGCTGGCGCTTGTTTTGGCTTGCCACTGTATAATGCGTAGTAGCCATGCGAGTGGCGCCAGAACATATTGCCGTTCGTCCTTTGTTCCCTGAGTTTGCCCTTCCGCTGCGTCGCTGTCAGCGTCCGCCGCCCTCTCACTAACGGCTCGCCGTGTGCACCGGTAGCGTCGAGTCGACCAAACACTCCGAGGCCAACAACAACAAGGGGTGAGTGCCGGAGACCGATCGCCACACTCATTGACTGCCACGCAAGCCGTCGGGCCCGACCGGGACCTGCGATTAGGACGCGGCTGCGCGGTGTCGTCGGCAGCCGCGCCGCGCTGCTGGAGTTCGTAAGCCAGCTGGCCGCCAGCTGCATTGATCGGTGACATTGCACGGGTGTGGTGCGGTGCACACCTGGGCCGTGCAGTGTCGGGTGTTGGCGTTTGCGTGCGCTCGTGGCATGCGCCGTCTGCAGCGCGTGATTTGCTTCCATCCAGGCGAAATGTTCTCGATGGATGCTGCGGGACGTTTGAAAGCTCCATTGTCAGCAAATGTTACTGACGTGGTTACAGACAGACGAATCAAGGAGTGTGTCTGCACATGCGCATGCCTGTTCGCCAGCCGGATATTGCTAACTAAATTTATGGAAGTCGAATTCTAGGCTTTGGCTATGTCACTGTCGTCGGACAACACGTTGTACTGCGCTACCCTGCTGGTGAGCCCGCCTTTGTCGGCGTGACGTCACGCATGCTGTGCCGGCCCGACCGTCTGCTGACGGCGCCGTTCCTTTGCAGCCGGCAGTCGTGGGTGAAGTGGGAGGACCCGGTCATCTGCGAGATCTCTCCGCTCGTGTCGTACGCGGGCGAGGCGCTCGAGCCGCTGGTGGCGGGGCGCCGCTTTATGCCGCCGCTGCTGCTGAACGAGCCGGCCGAGCCGCTCGCCAACGGCCACTGAGAGGAGCGCCGCCGCGGCGCAGCAGCGGCCGACAGTACAAACCGCGCCCCGCGGCGGCCAAGGCCGCGTCGCCGCACGACGCTGATTGGGCGGCCGAGCTCATGCCACGTCTTGATTGGTGGGATGCTGCGCCGGCCGGTCGCATCGCGATTGGTGGCTGCGGCGCCAACGCCGTCACAATTGGTGGCTGCAGCGTCGGCGCCGGGATGATTGGTTGGTCGCGTCGCTGGCCGTGATGTGATTGGTCACCGCGGGGACGTAGGCAGCTGGAGCGGGCCAGCAGCAGGAGCGAGGCGGTCGTTAAATGATTTCAGCACCACACGGCGAATGGGCTGCTGAAAATGGGTCCAACTGCCTGCCTGAAGTCACTGCTGGCGCTGTTTTTGCCGCTGCGGTGCGTTGCACTGGTATCGCACTTGGGTGGGAGGGGGGGGGGGGGGGGGGGGGAGCATGGGCTTGTAATTATTGCTGCATCCATGGGTTCTTACCCCGAACGCATGTACTGCGCCCGAGTCGGTTCATCGTGGGATGAGCTTCAGTTGGTGCACACGTGACTGCTGGGCTGGCACACCGCTAACAGCAGGCCGCCGATCCCTGCCGGAAATGACCCGTCCCCAGCGGCGTGACTCCGTCCCGCCGCCCCTCCTGCCATCCCGCGTGCGGGCGGGCCCCGTATATGTCACCCTTTGTGCCTGGCGCCGCCCGCGTCCGCAACTCCGCTCGGGTCGCGAGCTGGGGATGTGCGTTCGGTGCCGACTGCAGCGGCGGAAACCCCGATGAGCGACGGGCCGCCGCTACCGCGTCATATGACGTCACTGGGGCAACCGATGCAACTGGCCGGCTGATTTTCCGACTTGTGGAGTTCTGTGGCGTCAGTTCTCTCGCTGTGTATTACGTGGTTTGCATTATGTACCTATTCTTAACCGGCACTGCCTGAACGCGGGGCAGGGACTATTCCTGGCAGTTGGACACAACTGTTGAACGCTGCCGCGAGCCGCCCTCCTCACCTGGGCTGTGTCTAGTGATGATTCATTCGTTTGGTGTTGACTTGTTGGTTTGTGCGCTTCATGCTCCAGTTCTGTTTGATCGTTACCGCTCGCAGATCGGTGGTTATATGCACACACGTCATTTGTACACATCCCACCAGGAGCGGCCAATATACAAACCGCTTTCAGTGGTATTTTGTCGGCGAAAGATTTGCATGAAGGCAGAAGGACAGGTTGGACGCGATCTCCGCTTGATCGGTCGCAAAATTACGGCCAAGTGACGTGGGAGGGGCATGGCCAGAGTGGGCTTTTACAAAAGGAGCGCGCTGCAAACGGAGCGTGTGCATGCGTGTTATTTCATTTCAATTATTCGACCTATATTACCTTACCCTTTCAGAACCTCAGCTGGTCATTTGTTTCACGTATATTGGACGTATCACTACGAGCAAGTGTCTTGATGAATGCAGTGGAATGCTAGTTTCCCACATCCGGGGCAAGCTATCCGGCGCGAGGATAGCGATGAAGCACGCACGCAAATGACGTTCATTTGTCGCTCACGTACAAACCAGTGTTGCGCTACCGTATGCAGGTACCCACTATCCGATAAACAGACTTAAGAAATTATCCGAAATCAAACTCTACTCTCCCAAATATCCGTTTACCGCTGTGAGCACACGGCACATACCACCGCTTCTGTCTGAGCTGAGCGGCCGGAGGAGTGGCGGACGGCCAGCGGCGCGGTGGATCCACGGACAGCCTGCAGAAATTACTGTGAATCGACAGTGCACTGCGCGCCCTCGCGTAAAATAAACAAACGGCGTGTTGGATGTCCAGGCTCCGCCGACAGACGCACGTGCTGGGGTGAACTTCTGCCTTTGCACACGACTGTCGATAGGCGTCAGAAACGCGTTGGGTTGAGCGCAAAATGGCCTCGATGCCGACGCGCCCTGAAAGACCAAATCACCGCAAAACGCGTCAGGCTCGTGTGCAGAGTCGTGATGAGCTGGTGAACCAATGAACAACGCCGGAGACAGATAATGACACCCGTAACGAGACCAGGAACGGATGAAATCCCTTGGTGACGCACACAAGGAACAGACTCAGTGACCGGATAATAACCAGACCAACTTCCCATGTGACCGACACTCCGGACGAGCTGTCTCGCCATGAGGTCAGGGAGAATGGCCGCTCCTGCGCCGCCGCCGCCGCCGCCGCCGACGGTTGGCACCGCGCCGGCGCCTGCGTCGCCCGCGGCCGCTCGCCCATCGATCCCTCGCGCTCGACGTCGCCGCCTCCGTCTGCGCCGGTGTCGACGCGGCGAAGGCCGGGGCGGCGGACGCGCGGCCGGAGCGACCGTGACGAGCGGGCGGTGCGCCGTTGGGGTATCCGGGTGGCGGTGCGCCGCTGGGGTGTCCGGGTGGCGGTGCGCGGCTGGGGTGTTCGGGTGGCCGTCAGCTGCCGGCGGCGGCGGGGTGCGGCCTCGGAGGTGAGTCCTGAGTCCTGCGGGCAGCTGACGGTATTGCGCTGTCTTTTTAACACGGAAGATGTGTGAAATGGCTGTGAGAGTGTGAGCTTTGAGCATGTGTGGGTACCCAAATGCATAACAAAATTATTGAAACCGCACAAACGTTAAAATTTGAATGGTGGACAGTGCCCAGAACAAATATAACCAGGTGACATAGTGTGGATGCCGCGTCCCCATCTCTGACGGTAACGTTTGTCGTGCATAGGTGAAACCACAAAGCCATGAATATGGACAGCCACGCAGCTCGTGAGATCTACGTCCAGTACCTACCAGGTGGGTCGAGTATGCTGACCGTTCAGGGACCACACGCCGTTCTGTGTGCACTGTAGACGTGACACGAGGGTAGATATAACTGCCACCGACGCCTGACGAGCCGATATGGGGGGGGGGGGGGGGTTATCGTCGTACTCCCGAACGTGCTTACCACTGAATGGCTCGGCTGAGCTGTGTCCGTTTCACGCCTGCAGCTCATGCTCGTTGCACCCACGTCGTCAAAGATCGATTTCGCTGCACGTCTTTGCTTCTTTTCATCGCTCGGGTACCGCTTATAAGCTGCGTTGTCACGCTACGAGTGAATTTCATGACGCGTTTCGCACTCGTTCTCGCGCCGTGAAGTAATTGGCTTCGTTCGAACGCGCCCAACAGACAGCAACGAGGTCAACTATTGGATGTTCGCGATGATCGGCATCGGCATGGCCTTCGTCGTCTTCGTCGTCGTCTCCATCTATCTGATCTGGTGGGTGGATCGCAGCCCACGCGCACCAGAGATCAAGTTCATTATTGCATGGCCGCAGTCGGTCACAATGTCGCATCAGCACACGGCATCGGGAGGCATCGCACAACGCTACGACTGCGGTGACGGTGTGCGTTGTGAAAAACGCTGTAGCGTCAAGACGGAAGTGCCCGTTTCCAGGCCTGTAGCCAGACCAAACTCGCACTGGATGCACCAGGGTTCCAAAAAGGCGCGATGTGGCCTTCGTTGTCGGCGCGCTCCAAAGTCCCAATTAACAACAGCAACGGTCAGGCGATGTAGCTGAGCAAACATTGATGATATTGTCAGCGATCGGTATGGTCAGTATTGTCGTTGCTTCAAACTGCGCCTGTGATAACGAGTAATATCATGAGCACTCAGTAGTGCTTATCCTCGTGTACCCCCTGACGGATTTTGTTCCTTTGGACTTTTCGTTTTGTACTTTTTCTCACTTATCCCTGTCGACTTGAAGTCCCTGAACTTTTTTATTTCCTTTTTTCAATTAAGTTTTCATTCGGTCGACTGCCGTGCCTTTTGACTGTTTGGTCTTCGACTTTTTCCTATTCGACAATTCGACTCTTGTCCCAATTGGCTTTTATCCCCACAGACTTTGTGTCGTTCGGCTTTTTCCATTTGACTCTTTGTCTGGACACCGTGAAGGCCTGGCCCAATTATTGGGGGCTTATCCCCGCCCACTGGAACAACCGGACCCTGTGCCCGCGATAGCCTGTAGTGTCTAAAAGTTCAGTTATGACGCTTGTATGACTTACAACAGACTGTCCAAACATTGGTGAATGGTTATCCATGCTCCAAGTGGGTGCCTGCGCACAGTTCTTAACCCTGTGATGACCCTCCCACAGCCCGCCCTATGGCGGCCTGTGTCTTCTCTGAGAAGGCTTATTCCATCCCTATTTCGGTCAACCCCTGCCTCGGTGATACCCCCGGCGCTGTGACGTGCTCCTGGCGTGCCCTGTGTCGGCACTGTGACGGCGCTTCTCTGCCACAGTGACGGTCTTCCCCTGTACCCCTGACGGGCTGTTCTCCATGCCTGTGACCTGCCACGTGACGCGTCCGTCTCTGCCCCGGCAGCGGCCCGGTCCCGGCTCTGACAGCCCGTGTCTCCCCCTCAGCTCCGACGACAAGGACCGTGGCGCGCGCCAGGTCAGCTCCAGCACTGTGACGACACGCATGCACGCGCTCACGGAGTCACACTCGCCGAGCAGCAGCCCGCAGGACTGCAAGATCTGAGCCTCCGAGCTGTTCCCCTCCCTGCTTCGTGCCCCTCTCCTTCCCCCTTGGGCGCCCACCAGGGCCCTCCCCTGCGTGGCTACACCCCACGACCTCTCCGAGACGGGGACGGGATGACCGGAGCCAGCGTGGGCCGCACCAATCAGCGCCGAGGGGACTCCCCTCAGACCCCAGCGGAGGCCGCCGCTCCGCCACGCTCGGCGCCAGGTGTGAGCTCCGTGCGCGGAGTCTGAACCTGACGCGGCGCGCCACGCGTGTGACGTCTCCTGGTTATAGCGTCGCACCGGACGAGTGCATCGCGCGAAGTAATGCACTGGATCCGGCCGCTTCTGCGCTGGGGTAGGAGGTGGACGGCGCGTGCCGACATGCGGCTGTCCACACCCGCAGCGGCGGCACACCACGAACTCGTGCCGCGTTCCCGGCGTCTAGCCTAGCTGTGCACGCGATATGAATGTCGACGTTTTCTTAACGTTCTCACTGCTGCCCACAGAACGGCGCGTGTGTTGGCGGCGCTTTGGCTCAGTGTCATTGGACAGTAACGATGGAGTGAAGTGTCAATGTCACGGATAGGCGAGAACTGAAATGAGACCGTTTTTAAAGGGCCCTGTGGAATGCAGCGAGTTTGTCAAACATGCATGCTTGCTTTGTCAAACATGCACAACCATGTGGCCAGCTTAACCCTGCTTACCTGTTGCTGTACGCGTGTCGGGTAGAAGAACTTCCACAGTCGTATCAATATCGGGTGCCAAGAGACTACGCCTGCAGATGACCTTCCCGTGTCTGCAAAGCTGTCAGTGTACGTGCTTGATCATGCCAGATCTGCAGTAGCGGTGTCCGCTGACATGAGAGGTGAAAAGCTGAGTGAAGTCGGTCTTCGATGTTGCTGACGTAGACGTGCTTCTGACCCGAGTACCAGTCAGCGCTCGGAAACCTTCCGAGCGCCCCCTGCATTACGTCCGTCTTCCTCGGCTTCCCCGCCATTTGTTCAATGACACGAGTTTTGACTGTTCAGCTCTCCAGCTGACCGGTGCCACCACTTTCTGGAAATACAAGAGACGCGAAGAGCCAGAGCGCGGTGTTCGGCGACGGGTTAAAGCCGGCCAAAAGCTGATTCCCCATGGCCATTCCAATGCTGTCCAGACATGGGAGTGCACTCTGTACCCAAGCGCCACACGTTTGTTTACATTAGCTCTTCCTGGATCAATCGGGACTGGATGGAAGCGATCCGAACGAGACGCCCTCTGTCGATAGGGCGACAGGACTCGGCAACATCCGAGCACTTTTGTTAGTCATGTAATACAGTTACGAGTCATGCGTTTTCAGCTTTAGAAGCCCATGGACCGCAGTCGTAACTTGTGATCACTGACGATCTAGCTGGAAGATGAAGCGTGTCATCCACAAACCAGAGCACTTGGTTGCATTTTTGATGTGCTTATCCTTTAGTTTTGGGTGCTTAGTTCCTTTTGCAACATTACGAAATGCGCAGTTATTACTCACAAATTACACATTGCATAAAAACATCCATAGAAAGCACAGCTTGCCGACGCAGCCCACTTCAAAGACGCAGTTCATTTCGCAGAAACATCCACATATCAAAGGAATGCACTAGAGGAATCAGTGGAGGTTAATTAGTACACTGCAGGGCTACAGGCGCAGCTTCACACGATTGGAGAATAACCGAAGTGATTTTCTGAACGAAATAAAACTTTATGTGTGGTTTTGGCGACTTCTTGGCGACTGAGGTCAAATACTGAGGGGATCTGGACAGACATTGTGGGGACCGTGTCATTACGAAGGTGCCAAGCTCCACACATGCCCACTGCTCTTTCGTCACGGTCCATTCTAGTGTAGTAGTAAGCTGCGCGTCTAGGAGAGTTACGGGGTCCGATTTCCCGCGGTGCCCGCCCTTCTTGCCGAGGTGGGAGGCAGGCGGCGCCATATAGCCTCAGCAGCCAAATGCGTCATTAAGCCCCGATAATATATATATATATATATATATATATATATATATATATATATATATCACGGCCCAAAATCCCACGAGCGATGACAGCACGGAGCTGAGAATATTGTACCACGCAGGAGCACAGCTTGCGTTTCCGAACAGGCAGCTTTTAGTAGGTAAAGAAAGGCACCACGAAGTCAGAAATCTTCAATCCCCTATGCCTCGTGAAAAAAACAGGAAATGAGCCCCAGTTCTAAACGACTTGAAGGTATGTTACTCATTCAAAATACACCTCTCGCCATTAATGTGGGTTCCTGGAGACCGCACGTTCACGGTAACGGAACGCCTGCCTGTCTCAATGCGTGCCTTGCCAGCTGTAGCCATTTTCCCACTGAGCAGTTCGGTAAGCGCGGTGTGGTGAACATTAACTAGAACTTCTTCGCATTGACATCATTCACGTTTTCGCGACATCATTCACGTTTTTTCAGCGCTGTCATAAATCTTGTTCATATTTCATTTTTTGACGCATTTTCTTTGCATCCTTACGAGAAATGTCGGCGTGGTTCCAGGCAATGTAGGCAAGTAACGGAGGGCTCCACATTTACTTTGCGTTACATGCAACAGGTTCCCTCGCCTTCACATAGCATTCACCAGAAGCAATTATACCACCATCCTACCAACAGTAATGATATCTGCGCCGCACACAGCTCGACGGATCCGATCACATTGCAAAATAACGACGAAGGGCATTGCCGCATCGACTAACTAGCCTCATTTACGCAATCCAGTACAGTTCCGCGTCTTGGATCGCCTTCGCTATTTGCGTCCCGACGCCGCTGCTAGTTGGAACGGAAATCGCAGCAGCGCGTCGCCGAGAACTAGACAGCGCCAATCACTGACGGTCAGCCTCCCACTGCCGCCTCGTCGCGGCGGCTTGCCCGCGAAGCCCGGTAATGCGGGGCGACAAGCCAACGGCGCATGACGCGAGGCCCAGACCTCAGTCTGCGTCTTCGTCTGCGCGGGCACGCGTGACCGTTCCCACAGCGCGACACTGAATCGGTACGGGCCTCCACCGTCCGTCCTGCTCTGGCTGCCGCGCTACGGGCCTCCACCGTCTGTCCTGGTCCACCTGCCGCGCTACGGGCCTCTGCCGTCCGTCCTGCTCCACCTGCCGCGCTACGGGCCTCTGCCGTCTGTCCTGCTCCGGCTACCGCACCACGGACCTCAACCATCCGTCCTGGTCTAGCTGCTGCGCTACGGGCCTCTGCCGTCTGTCCTGCTCCGGCTGCCGCGCTACGGGCCTCTGCCGTCTGTCCCGCCGCAGCTGCCGCGCACAAGTTCTGAAACCGCTGTCGAGACCTCTGTTCTCGTTTTATTACGATACGTCTGCAACGCTATCATGGCGACATCGCATGCCCATAAGCGTCTGCCCTTCCTTATAAAATCCAACGATAGCGGGAGAATGTACAAGCCTCAACCCCAGGGAAAGCACGATGAATACACGGGAATACTTTGAACGTCAGCACGTCACAGTGTTGTGATCTTCGCAAAGCGCGGCGGTGCCGCTGGCTGCCGCCAGATAGCCATTTACCGATCAGCGGCGCGACACCCCGACCGGGCACCATTCCCCCGTCTGGAGGACGGGAAATACCAGAGGACAACAGCACGCGGACTGCGAGGCGCCAGCCCACTTGGCCGGCGACCTCGGTCAAGCGACATTGGGATCAAGTGGCACAATCTGGGATGGCATCATTGTGCTCGGAACGAAACTCTGAGAAATTCTGACAGCCGTTGGGTCCACTGGAGTTGACTGCGGGAACATACGGATCTGCGTCACGGCCGGACACTAGTTAAATGTTCCTCTGAATTATGATGCAGCATTATCTAGACATCATTATGCCCGATTTAGCCCTCCCCGCTTAAGCGCCACACGACTACCGACAACTGGGTTTGGGACTCGGCGTCGCACGTCTACAATAGGTTTGGCTATGCACAACCGCCTGTCCATTCAACACAGCAAAATTAACAATCCGTCCTTTACCAAAATCGTACACACAGTGCCCCGATACCGGCCGGCACCCTCGCATAGCTGCCCGCAGAGAGAGCCAACAGGCGGCTAGACCGGGCCGGCGTTCGCCGCCGCTCAGTCGTCCTTCTTATCACCGGCGGCCGTCTGCTTCTGGAGCTGCGCGTGCTCCTCCATGAGCCGGTCGTACTCGCGGCTGGTGGCCTCGGCCTGGCACTGCAGCGCCTCGGCCTTCTTCAGCGCCGAATCGCGCTCCTTCTCCGCCTCGGACAGCTTCTTCTTCAGCTCCTTCGTCTCCTTGTCGCCGCCGGCGCTGATCTCCTTGCCCTCCATCAGCTGCGGCGACAGAGCGGCGTCCGTGAACGGGCGATGTCGGAGCGAAGCCGCCAGACAAGTCTCACCACAGGCGACGGGCACCTAAATCCAGCCGTGCCTGACAAGTGCGCGTTGTCGGCCGTCGAACGGCATACTTGCATTGCGCCGAGGTAACTTGACCGGGGTTTGCCGCGGCCAGAAAGTGCCGGCCGAAAGGGAACGCTGGTATGCACTGGCCCTTACTTCCGGATGATGTCAGATCGCCCCGATAGATACGTTCACCGATAAAGCAAGCACGAAACTGTGGAACCCCGCTTCCAATTGCGGTCTTTGACAGCATGCGGTCAACAGTACGGCACGAACGGAGGTTGACCTTTCTCCGCTGCTTCATATTACCAACGAAGAACCGGCCGGGCAACCCGATCCGATCCCTGAGCGCGCTACGGGCGTCGGCCGGGGCCCGGTCCGGCGGCTCGTCGGCTTACCTTCTTGGCAGCGTTGGAGGCGCTGACCGCCTGTCGCATCGCCGCCTCGTTGCTCGCCTCCAGGGCCGCCTGCTTCGAGATGAGCGTGATCAGACGGCGCAACACCCTGGGGACGGTCGTGACGCATCACATCACCGCCAGAGGTCACACTGCGTGGAGGGTCAGACTGCGTGGGAGGTCAGACCGCGTGGGTGACCAGACTGCGTGGGTGGTCAGACTGCGTGGCATCGATGAAACTCGAACATCCGGTGACATTTCTGTCGCATGGGTCTTGAACGCAGGACGCTTCATGGCCACATCAGTCCGGCCGGTAGTCTCGCAGATTATCGGTTCCCTAACATGGCACATCGTCAACACGCCCCCGGGTGGCCGGTTGGATACCCTTCGCTCGGGTGGGGGTCAATTTGACCCCTTGAGATCTCAGGAACTAAGAGAGCTAGAGACACCAAATTCAGAGGGTGTGTTGGCCTGTACGTGAACTCACTTAGGTCAAAGTGTGAAATTCCTAGGCCATGACCTTCGGGTCAAATAAGGTCAAATAAGGTCAAATTCCAGGTTGGTCCTCAAATCAGTGTTGGAAAACTTGACGTTTCCTGGTATAATGGAGATTTTAATATATTTTTACGATTATATGACGATCATAATACCAGGAGATTTTGTACTCTAGGATTGTGGCTAGGTAAAATGAAATATTTTGAACTCCATCATGATGCAACAAAAACAGTTTTTGGAAAAAAACTTATTGTAACCCTCTGTTTCAGGACAAACTTAAAACGGAAGGTGCAACAGCTTGACACTTGATGCTTCCATCATGAGCCATGTATTGATATTTGCAAGAGCACAAATCTTGCACCTACCAGACTAAATGCCCAAAAGCACGCGGCCTGTGTTGCCACACAGGTATATGATAAATCATGTATAGAAATGTGAAAAATAGTGTGTGAACGTTGAATGGAATCGTCTTTGAACAACACCGGGAAATGAGAAACGAGTAGCGAAATCGCACCGGTCTGTAGATCGGCAAAGCTCTCACTTCCTACGCCCTACGCAGACCAGCTCGGAATTGAACATGACTTAACCTACCATTGACGATTAACTGCATTTATTGTCAAGGATGCAATGAGCGGTCATAGAAAATCAAACAACCAAGCACCTACCACAGACGGCCGCCTACTCACGCGCCACCATTGTGTCATGATAATGCAATTAAGAAAATCGCTCGCAATTCAGTGTCGGAAACGTCTGTACTATTCAGCGGCTTGCGCCCGCCTCCCAGCTGAGGTTGGAGGCTGGACATAGCAAAACTCTCCAATTGGTTTTAATAATTCGCCTCTTCGCGACTGATTTGTCAAGAGCATACATATTCTGCTCGCGCTCATGCCTTGAACAGATTTATTATTACATTTGGAGGGCTGCTGTATAGAGATGGGTATCACGATTATGACGAATGACTTATTGGTACTCATCCAGAACCACCCTGTGGTTGGGTTTTTGGCCATTTCTTGCTAGCCGGAGTACAAAAATGCAATAGCTGCTGGGGACTCAAATAAAATCAAAATTGTCACTTCAGGGTGTGAAATTAAAGCTGGTAATTCAGGCTTTACAAAAATATTTTTAAGTCGAAAAACGTTGCTATAAATAGACCAGAAATGTTCAGAGACGGCCATCTCACTCCGGCACAAACACCAGGACACCAGAGTGACATGAACCCATAGCTTTGGCCCCGCGAATTAAGGAGAAGGGTTTATTAGGACAAAAACATCGATGAACTGCAACATAAATTATCATAGCTCGCAATGATATGGGTTAAAGCGCATCAAACTCCATAAATACATTGCATTATCCGCCGGAGTCAGCGGGGTGACTGACACCGATCCCTCTTGGCCGGTCTAGACGGGTCTGTCAGGCATTGCACTTGCGCTGGTTCGGTAAATCGGTCGAGAGTGCTGCCTGTCTCTTTTATTCGGCTCGGACGTGCGGGCTTCGTGTGTTGTCCTGGAGGTGGAGGGCATGAATGTTTACCCGTTTTTAAAACCAGTTAGCTGGTGAAGCGCAGATGGCGTGACCGTGGTGGAGCGTGAGTAGCGTGATTGTGGTGGAGCATACGAGCGTGATCGTGGCGGAACATACTTAGGTAGCCGTCTGTGGCACGTTCATTTGTATTCTTTGTATACCATTTTTCTCTGGCCGTGCGCATCGTAGCCACCCTCCATGTTGGAGAGTGTATAGTGGGGGTGTGCCACTAGTGCCACCACCCTCCCTCCATTGGGGTGGTGGCACACACGTGCCACGACCCACAGCCACCCTCCATTTTGGAGGGTTTCTGTTATCAATAGATTCGAAATGTGCACCAGGAACTACCCCATATTGCAAACGCTACAGCACAGAGTGGTTTTGACCTTGGTCTGCCCTTCATACCTGACCTTACGTCAATGTTATTTGTTCATTCAATTGCTGTGTTGCCATAAAAGGTATCTCAGAAATGTGTGGCTTCGTCTAGCACTCCATTGTTGGATCAGATTGAACGATTCCCTACAAACTGCCTCAGCTCAAACCATGGCTTGACTTTGACCTGCCATCGGACGGGGACCTAAGCAAATGTAATTTTTTAAAGTCGGACGATCCGCCACTTAAGTGTATACAGACACGCAAAATTTGGCGCGGCTATGCCGCGCCGTTCGGAAACCATCCCGGAAAAACCTTCGGGAGGGAGGGGGGGGGGGTCAATTTGACCTCCACCCGAGCGCGTGAATCGAGCAACATATCACAATAGCCAGCGTTCAGTTTAGCACAAGAACTGCATACAGTCTACCTGGATGTCACGACTCGCACGCACTACAGGCCGACTGGCCGGGTGAGGCTGCCGTCATCGTGCCAACCGGGTATAACTAAGATTATTCCGACATCGGATATGGAGCCACGCATTCGTAGAACCTATCGTGTTGTCGGACCTATTGCGTCTTCTGCCGTCAGAGCCTGGCAATATTGGCACTGATCGGTGCAGAGCACTGATATCATGAATTTGATTCATTAGCGTCATTACATCAACAGCATGCTCCAAAGGTCATGCAGACATTCCGCACCATGCTGAATCTATGACCCAAGCCGGCGGTTCGGCACTACTTCCACCACCGAGCGGGAGCGTCGCCGTCTCCCCCGAGAGCGTTGACCGACCACGTCCGTGCCGCGCCACTCACAGGAACAGGTAGAGGGCGAAGCCCGCGATGAAGAAGTTGCGCTGCGCGCGGAACAGCTTCATGTGCTTCTGCAGCTCGGCGTCCAGGTGGTCGCGCGAGGCGTGGCCGGCCTCGTCGGGCGCGTCGCCGTACTTGGCCATCTCACGGATGGCATCTGAAGGCAGCAGCTTGCTGTCAGCGATCCTGGCTGTCCGTGAGGTGCTGACCCCAGAGGGAATGACCACCACTAATGCCACACTATGTAAGTAGGAGTGCCATTCAAGGTATGAGTGGGATGGTACTCTGATTGTGCCTTGCAATGAATGTGTCAGAGGGACGATGACTGGATCTTAACAAGCATTCTAGGCATTAGTGAGGGCATTGGTGTGAAACATGAGGAACATGAAAAATGCTGTCAATGTCACCTGTTTCAACATGCTGCTTCCAGCAAAGTATTTTTGTGCTGTCTCACCAAATCATCTGGGATAGCAACATACAAGAGACAGGCAATATTGCATTCTCCATGAGCTCATTTAAGCTCACACATTTCTGCTAATGGCCTGAGCTATAACAAAGGTCCTTAGCAGAACTGTGTGTGACACATTCGATGTAATGTGTCTTTTGTAAGACACATTACATCAACTTTAATAATTAAACACATAGTTCAAAGAGATCACATGGATGTTAAGTGCGTAATATGTTTGAACAGATAGGGTACATGTCAGAAAAACATGCTACATTGCATTATCTCTCCCTTCATATGAGGCCCCACACCTCCAACCTAGTCCGTGCAAAATACCACTGACTATGCAAACCATTGATATTTGTATACATTGCAAAATAAACCCTCGAGCTCTACTGAAGCTGGCTTATGCAAAATAGTGCCAAGCATGCAAGCACAGCCCTCAACTCATACCAACTACACTTGATTTAGCAGACCAGAAAAACATCAAAGGGTCAGACAGTATCTCTTTTGCATTATACACCTAGTGTTCCATGAGCTCTGACCATTTGTATTTTTCACATGATTTGAAACTTTTCACTTTCACATGCCAGGTGTCTCACTTCTAACACACACTTACCCAAGAAACACAATGTTAGAACCACCATGAACACACAGAAGTAGAAGAAGGATTGCCCTTCAATGGCCTGAAGGAAGCGTGACTTGAAGATGCTGTTCCATCTGCAAACAAGTTGTGGTTTGTTATCCATTCTAAATTGAGATACAAAGAGACAGCATGTACACAACTACATGTGGCAACCAGCTCACTGGGTGAACATAACTTTTAAAAAGTAAAAGGAAATGACATCTGTTGATGAAATCTCCTTGGGGCAAGGGTGGAATAGGAGCTGATATTTGGGATAGGAATTTGAGGTTTTTGGGTATGAATTATTAATGTCTGGTTATGAACATAGCACAATAAGTGCTTGGTAGTCAGCAAATACAGCTTAAATCATACACAAATATTTATGACCATCCTCTGGGTCATCAGCCCATCAGCCCCTGCCACATGCAGAGATGCTGACTGCCCCAAACATCTTGTTGACATCTGAACATCTCAGTCTTTCTGTGGTCTGCTGACATATCAATGTACAAACATCTCTCTATCAGCCACCACTTTCAGATAAGCTAGACAGCACCACCACCAATGGTATGGTGCAAAAAAAGTTTGCATCCAAGCATATCCATCTAGCAGGAGCAAGTAGTTTCTCTTACATGGACTCTGCAATCATGCTCCTAGCCCTACCACCACCACCAACTGCACAACCCTGGTTCTCCACACCAGCCAGTTTGCAAAGAAAAAACTTCCCAGGCTGCACACTTCAGTAAAAGTGGTGCACTAAACCTTATGCCCAAAGTAAAACCCGGCAAAATCATTCTGAATATTCATATTAAATCACAATGGTTAGGAGTGTTCACAAGAGATTACCTTTACAAATAGTAATTCCTGAAAATTGTTTTTGCACTGAAATTGGCAGTGACAGTGCACCAAATTATGAGTACTCTGACTTGCACATATCCTGCAATTGTTCCAGTGATGTTCCTTTTACCCAGTCTGCATGAAATTAATCTACTGCCCTCAGTGCTCGCATATGTATCAGTGAACTCCTGAGCCTAGGGCATGTGTGTGCCAAGCTCAGGTCAGACCAAGTTGTGCTAAATATTTGAATGATTTTTGCTTGAAATTGATAAGGAGGCATTCTCACTTGAGAGATAACTTAACAGCATCATAAATCCTTAAAAATTGGCCATATATGGACTGAATATTAAAGGCACTTAGATTAGTGCTGTGTTCTGAAAATGATGCAGGGAGGGGGTATGCACAATACAAATGAGCATTCAGATTTTAAAGCACAGTCACCAATGATTCCAGAGCATAGAGAGCCAATGCTTCAGGGAACAATGATGTGACAGTAGTACCAAGCAGAATGGCATTATGTCATTTTTCACACAATTTCATTTGAAAATTGAGTGCAATTCGACCCAATCTGAATTTGGCATGAGTGAAACCAAGGTTCTGCACACTGAGGTCGTGTATGCATGTGGCGCAGTCGTTGATTTTCTGCAGACTAGGTCCCAGACCCAAATGCTTGGATTATTATCACATCTGCACTTACCACACACATCATGACGATAAAAACGGGACAATATGCAATGATACCACTTCGTCACGCACTCACCGTCGTGCAGATATAAATGGAAGAAGCAAGAGCAATACTACAGCTATTTCCGTGTACAAGAAGCCGGCTATGAGGGTCCACTGGATGCTCATGTTGTCCACCGACTTATTCTTGTGCTAGAGCAGGAAGAATCACTACCGTCACACAAACGTTGGACCTGAATGGTGCAGATTACGCTGGCCAGCACTTGAATGGAACCGCGCTATATATCAGTCTGAAGGAACCGTGACTTCTCGCTAAATAGAACAGGTCTGTGGAATGGACACGAATCGTCGGAACCGAATGCGCTGGGCCTGCTAGGCACACGTATATGACGCTCTTGAGACGAGACAAAAGACACGTCAAGGCCACGAAATTTTACCTCATATGGATGACGCAACGTTGGTCTTTGCCCTTGCGCTACGTGTGTGAGGTTAGCAG